TCCCAATGCGAAAACCCACTCTAGATTCACCATTCTGAATTAAAACACATCCCCCCAACACCACCTCCAGTGTACCACTGTGTCTTCCTATTAATAATTAGGGACGACCATTTGATTCTGAAGGGGGGGGGGGGCTGGCAGATTTTGGAAATATATAATCTGTGCTCAAAAAAGTTTAAAATGAATGACTGTCTTTCTACGACCGGCAAAGAAATAAATAATCTGTCCTTGACTATTACTATTTACCCCCCCCCCTTTTCCGTCCCCGTTTGAACTTTTTTTGTCAAACTTTTTTCAGTGAAGAAGTAAATAATCTGTCCTTGACTGGCATGAAAATAAATAATCTGACTCGAAAATTTTTGCCAGACCCCCCCCCCCCACCCGACCCCCTCCTCAGAATCAAATGGTCGTCCCCTTAATCGATTCAGCAAATTAATCCAATAATTCAGATATCTAATTCTGTGGTTTATGATAGCTACAGCGCTAGCTCACCTATCTTTTTTAAACAGGACCTATCTGATAGCGACATTTTAGAAATAGGCATCATCTCAAACAAAGACCTTACTTGATATACTGGTTATATATTTTCCACCAGTATATTTTTCATTTAGATTTACTTTGATTTTCATCAAATTGGGTATATAATTTCTATGATAAACTTTACCAAAAAAAAAAAAATGATTCTATTTTCGTGAGACATGGAATATTGCGAGATTTCTTTATTCGACAACGAGGATAAAACATGTTTTAAATGATGCCAAATCAGGTAAGACATACCCTTTAAAAATTTTCACATTTGTTTCGACGATTGGAAGATGATGAATTTTAATGACATTTTAAAGGTAAATATAAATGAATCAAAAAATCAATTTAAGAATGTAGAAATCTTTTTAATTTTTAAATCATACTTGCTTCTGTACAAAACGTACGAAAGTGTTTATTATTATTATTATTTTTAGAATATCCATTATTCCCCGATTGAATGCTACAATTAAGCTAAATAAATTATCGAATATGGATATAAAGTAATTACATTTTAAAGAGAATTCTTTTGCCGTTGAAAAGCAGACCAGCTGAGGTCAATTACTTTGAAATATAATGCATTAAATTACAATTACTTTGGAATTTTTACGTTCTATTTCCATTAGTGAACTCTTCAAAATTAGGGGCGCGTTTGGTCGTCTGACAGGGACAGGATGGCGTTGCGGATAATACAAAACATGCCAATCTCAATCCAATTTTTAATGTTAAATGTATTTGTCATTCCAATTAAAGAATAGAAGAACTAAAAGACATATGTAAGAGAGCGAGAACCCTAAATTTATCACCCATTAATAAAAAATACGACATTTCCGAGGCATGTGTATTGTATTTAGAGGCACCATACGATAAATAGATACATACGATCAACAATAGATATAAATTGATATCGTTGTCATTCCTACTCTTGATGTATATTAAGTCCACAACAATAAAATATTTCATTTGCATTTTCTTAGGATTTGTTCATCGACATTCAACATATTGTTTACATGTTTACGTTACGTTTGTCCCTGAAATCCCGCGAGATTTGTACATTTTCCGACTTTTTCACAAAAGAGCGCACTAAGAAGTATAACTCTTCCATAGTGGAAATAGAACGTATTACCATTACTGTCATTCAAAAAAGTATTTAATTAAATTACAATTACTTTGTTAAAGTAATGAATTACATTACACATTATGCTTTACATTATGCTTCTGTACAAAACGTACGAAAGTGTTTATTATTATTATTATTATTTTTAGAATATCCATTATTCCCCGATTGAATGCTACAATTAAGCTAAATAAATTATTGAATATGGATATAAAGTAATTACATTTTAAAGAGAATTCTTTTGCCGTTGAAAAGCAGACCAGCTGAGGTCAATTACTTTGAAATATAATGCATTAAATTACAATTACTTTGGAATTTTTACAATTATACAATTACCATTACTGTCATTCAAAAAAGTATTTAATTAAATTACAATTACTTTGTTAAAGTAATGAATTACATTACACATTATATTTTATAAGAGAAAAACACCAAATTTATGGCCAATTCTCTGAGAATACATTCATCCACAGAATTTATCTATACATTAACATTCTCACACTTTGTGCTCGGTCAGTATGCTTCCCCTCAGGTCTATAAGTCTGGTGTGGTATTTGGTATTTTGGACTCATTTATCATGCTCATGTAGTTTACCAATCTACAGTTGACAAAGAAAGTGGATCAGAATACTTTCATTGTTGTAATTTTGTTTAGTCTCTGATGTTAGCTCCTCCGTTTTTTATTTTTGATAAATGATAAACAATTTATACTTTATGTATATGTTTTCTGTAAAGTGATATTTAATTAACTGATAATGCTATAATTGTAAAACAAGTATGTATCAATAATTTAATGAATTAACACTTGTAATTAGCAGAGCAGGCGTAATCAATGATTTATATTTAAGACAAACAAAGGTGATAATTACCGGTACCTAGATATAGGGTTTGAAGTTAGAGGTGACTCCAAGCTACCAAAATTGAATGATGGACAATATCAATATTTACATCTGGCCTTAATTTCCCTTACTGTCTTCAAGTAGATCATACTGATCTTGCATCTTACTTATCAAGTCCATTTCACCAGAATGAACTTTGTGAAAAGAAAAACAAAATCAAGTTGAAAAATAAAGTTTGTATTTCAATTGGTAGTCACAGTAAATATGCATTAAAGAAGCTCTAAACACTAATGTAAAGTGGGTTTTTTTTGGACTTGGAGAAAATTATATCATATACAGGAGTACGTATCGAGTTTATCTAGTTCATTTTCAACATTAGGTACCATATTTCCCCAGGAAAATTTTTCAAAGACAATGAATTCTGGGTGAACAGAAATTATTGCCGTTTCCTTACATTGGGAAAATACATGTAAATAGTTTATTCAATTAATTTATGATGGTCTAATATAATGTTAAGAATACAATTATCTAGTACACATCATGTCTTTTACTGTAGATTCCAGTTTATTGTATCTTACATCTAAGAACAGACCACTCTAACTGCATAAAACTACTCTGGAATTAGTACTCTTCAGTAAGCAGTGTTTAGAGCTTCCTTATTGTCATTTGTTTTGGGGCTATCTTTGAAACCTAATGATTTATTTTAATATATTTTTCTGGGTCTCTTCAATATTGATTTTATACATGTAACTGTCTTGTCAAGTGGCTTTCTTTTCAAACAAATATTAAATATGTCTATCAATCATTATTGAATAAACATTTTTGAAAAAGTGGTAAGATACTAGTATAAGATTTTAATTTTAAGACTGTAACATTATAAATAAGAAAATAACCTCTCAGTGACCTTGATTTGTTTCAGATTCAATATTGAGGACACAAAATGTAATTGAAAAGTAATGGACATTACTGATAGTTTTTTTAAAGTAATGCATTACATTACAATTACTTGTAATTTAAAGATAGATCCATTACACATTGCATCCCATTACATTGAAAAATTGTAATGATTATAATGCATTACCATTACACATTACCATTACCCCAGAAATCTGTTGATAAGTTTCCTGACACTCGTACGTGGTCATATAAACTAAATTTAAATGTTAGCATGTTTCTGAAAGAAATATCTGTAACTTTAACATGTTTAATTCATGAAAATAATATCTTAATTAATTAAGAAAGATAAGATTGACACATACACTAATCTAATCAACTTCAGAAGAAAAAAAAATCCAAGTTCATTTTTATTGAGAATTTTTTTCTCTCAGAATTTCAGACTAATGAAAAGTTTAATTAATATTGATCAATATATTGATCAGGGACGTGTATACTAAGTATATAGTGTATACGTCCCTGGTGAAATTAACAAATTGTTCATGGTCAATCAAAGCAGTGCACATTCAAGTTGGGGAACAATCTGTTTTTGTTTTATAAAATTTCATATCTTTAACCACTTGGCCATTTTTCATTTGTCATGAAAACCGTCGTCTCCTTATCCTCCCACAAGTCGAGAAATGGGTCAATTAACCAAGTCCAAAAAGAAGTGGAGAAAAAGAATTTATTTTCATCAAAAAAATTTCAAACTCTGGGTCCCTAATATAAGTATCCTTATATGTGTGATAGTCATTAACATTTTATTGCTTACTTGGATGCTAACGTTTATATTTCCACCATTTTAATATTAATAGATAGTTTTCACTTCCTTTGTTTACATACGGGTATTTACGAGTGTCCGCCTAAAACGGTTACGTGACTAGAAGGCATTTAAATCTGACTGGTATTGCCTGTTTCTATCATACGTTAGATGTATCTCGCACATTTTAGACAGGCAAGGCCAGTCTAGCATTTAGATTTGTCAGTTGACATACGAAGACCTCTTCAAGTGAGAAAATAATCATTTAGATTACCTCTTTTTTTAGGTTGAAATTATACAAAATAAATATAATATATATCTACAATAAATCATGCTTGTCATCACAGTAAATAGTAAATAACATACAGCTACATGTGTTTATACTATGAAAGTTGTTCACAGAAAAAATAAGGGTGAGTTCAGCAAGAAAAAGCAACTGTTTTGTTATAAATCACAAAAGTGTAAATAATCTGAGTTATAAAAATTTCTTCTGAATCAGAGGAATAATAACTCTGTGTTCCATTACAATATTTCATATTAAAAGTTAAAAGTACAAAGTATTTTTTTCTTGACTTAGTTTTGATATATGCATGAACCTTATTTATTTAGATTAGAAAGTACACTTTTTTTTAAATCTGCAAGAATATGCAAATAAGGATATACAAACAATGAAGATCTTACTAATAATATGATTATACACATTGTATTCCGTTTAAAATTTAAAATACAACTGTAACAAATTTCAGTATACTTTAATGAAATGAATTGTTCAAGAGTAAGAATAAATTACATTAAGATTAAACAGAAGTCTCGTCTTTTTACAATTCAGAGTCACCAACATCCTACTGATGATGGAGATGGGTCGGCTACATTGTATCAAAATCTCAAAGAAATAATCATTCATAAAACAGGTATTTAAAATTAAATTGTTTTTATTTCTCCTTTGTTTTATACACACATTTCAAACGCATCAGCTATTTGTATGTTTGATAAACAGAAAAGATTCTACCAATCACTATTAACTTTCATTTTAACCTGAGAATGGGTATTAGCCTTATGGTCAGAAAGCAAAGCGTGAATAAAGGTTAATTGCTAAAGGTTATAATGAATCGAGATGTCTTTTGAACATAATATACTCAGTAATTCTGTAATCAAACAGAATAGGTCGAAGTATGTATTGGCAGCTTCCTTTGAAACAAGATTTGAATTTCTTTAATATTTTAAAGTTACTTATTTAAAATGTAAAACTTCATAGTGGCATATAAGATCCAAAAATGTACAAATGATCCACATTGAATTTAACTGGAACACGTACGTAAAGTGCAGACTACAAACATAGAAAAGTGAATGTGTCACGAATACATTAGTACAGTAGAAATGTAATAACCGAAAATATTTTAAATGAGCCGTCATTATGTTTATGCAAATTATCTTAATTAATTACGAAGTAAATTATGTAACAATTTCATGAAAAGAATAATTATCCACAAATGCCATTTCTATAAAATGAGTGAATAAATATAAATTATACGGAATAAATTACACTTGCATCTTAAAGGATCAGGACCTGTTGATGCACAGCATATATACAACATGGATAGACACATCGATGAATTCCCTCATCCACCAACGCGGGAGATTGATCATGACAACAGTGGAACACTCTTGTGGACAGAATCTGAAATCTCCACATTCATACATGGTCTAGCAGGTCAGAAATCAATATATATCACTTACAGTGAAATGTATGGATATAACGAACAGTATTTAAGCTCAAAAGTCCATTCAAACAATACAAATCAGGAGCAGAGCAAACAGAGACCTCTAAACCATCAGAGGTGGGATCAGATGCCATGTATCGGAGGAGTAAGCATCCCCTGCCGACCGGTCACACCTACCTCGTGCTCCTTGTCATGATCAGGAAATAAGGGAAAAATCCGTCGACAATTCAGTGTGTAAATAATGGCCTAACAATTAGTTTGAAAAAACGTTTGTCAGCATTTGACTTAATGGTAGATTGTATTTGCTGACAAGGTCATTGTATCGACCATAGAACTTACGAAATGATGACTTTAAACTGTTGACATTCTTGTTTCATCAACTTGCCTGTCAATAACTTACCTCGTTTTAGAAATCGTGTTGTACGTAGAGTATGCTCTTGCGTATTGAATCAATTGAGAGATATAAACCCCGTATGCTGGTGGTAAGGGCTGCATAAGTAAGGGAAGTTGACGATTGAAAAGTTAAAGTTATCACGTTTATCATAAAGCTTTGTTGTTGGATTAGCAAAAACGTCTTTTTCTAGTTAAATATCCAAGTATGAAACAAACGTGCCAGACTCTGTGGTATATTTAATTTCAAGCTCACTAGGATATATCGTGTCGACATATAAATGGAAATAGATATTGTTAATTGATAATACGTCGTCGATATATCTAAATGTCGAGTTGAAAGCCACAGCAAGTGTTTTCTTCTTTTCATGTCTAAGATTGTGAATAAATTCTGCTTCATGATGTAAATCATATACGGTACCAATTTCGCATTTCGACAAATTATATCTCTTCAGTGATGCTCAAGCCGAAACGTTGGAAATCCAAAATATTTAAATAAAAAGACTTGGAAGAGCTGAAAAAAGGTGTCAAAGACTGGAGCCAAATACGTTGAAGGATCAGAGCTATGCATGAGGAAGATAATCCTTAATTTAAAAAAATAAATTTCTAAATTTTGCCACAGTAATTAAATATATATCCATATAATCAAGCTAGTACCAAAGTATTAGATTACTGGGCTGTAGAGAGCCTCGGGGACTAATAGTCTACCAGCAGAGACCTCGACCCAGGGGTCATAATGTAAATCACATGAAGGGGGGGGGGTGCAATTGGTACCTATGAGAATTCCAACAGATTGTTGAAGGACCTGGTCTCCAAAAACCACATAGATATTGTCAATTAGAATCTCAAGCATCTTTTTTATATCAACTTCAGAGTACTTGTGTGTACAATCAGAATGGGTTTTTTTTTTATCAAAATAATTTTGAAAATGACCAGTGACAAGGTAAGTAAATTTACGAGTTCCATTTTTATTGAAAAAGCAGCTGTCAATGATGTCAAAAAGCCTGAACTTAAATTTATCTGGGGAATGGTTGTATATTGTTTGTTTGTTTGTATGTTGTTTAACGTCCCTCTCGAGAATTTTTCACTCATATGGAGACGCCACTACTTGCCGGTGGAGAGCTGCAAATTTTGTCCTTTACTCGGCACTAACGGCCATTGAGCAGTGAGGGATCTTTTTCGTGCAAGCACCTACTGCGACATGGGACCTCGGTTTATACGGTCTCATCCGAAGGACCGGTCTCCACGTCCCACAGTGGGATTCGAACCCGCGACGTAAGGATCAACTCCTTACTTCGCGACTCTAGAGCATACGCTCTAACCACTGCGCCAGGCGGGCGACGGTTGTATATTGAGTTGAAAAGTCGTAAGTTTTTATGTTATTGACCTTGATCAAATTTTCCAAAAGTTCCTTTGAATTTTTAAGTATCCACATTTGATTTACACCACTTCTCAAATATATTTATGCACCGTACACCTGAAGTTTCTCCCTCTGTGTTGTTAATATTAAGTGAGGAGTAAAGAAAGAGGCTTGGTAGAACATTAACTGGAATCCGCTATGTATCTTTGTTTGTAAGGATTTTTATGAAGTTTCGGAATCTAATATAGATATGGTAATTCAAATTCATTTTGGTAGTTGGGAATATTTAAAATACATGTATTCAAAACTGACATGATTTTGAAGATTTCCTCCTTAGAAAGGGAGCTATGGGTATAAGTTGGATAACCACTTGTAGAATTAAATTTAAGTTCCTCTAAAATACAATTAAAATAATGAGCCTTACAAACAAAGACAATGTTGTTACCTGCTTTGTCAGCTGGGAACTAGACCTACAACTAAAAAGTTCATATTCATGTACATGTATACTGTATTACACCTTTTTTTTTAATTAAGTAACATTTAGATCATCGTTTTTGTTGTTGTTGTTTTTTTTTTTTTTGTTTTTTTTGTTTTGTTTTTGTTTTGTTTTTTTTTGGCATTTTTATGGAAATGTCGCAAAAACTTCATAATTCTGTATTTTGTTTTTAGACAATGGTGTTGCCATGCTTACTAAAATAAGAAATTTCTGTGAAATTCTTTCAAAAAGATACGCCTCCCACAGGTTTAGTCTGATTGCAATTAAACTTGCCTCAAAAAGATACAAATCAAGGAACTGTTATATCCAGCTTGAAAAAGGGGTGCTATATAGTAATGAGGGTGTCCATCCGTCCGTCTTCTCTATGTCCGCCCATCTGTCCGTCCGTCCTTTACGATTTGGAGTTCCCATCTCTTATCCGCATCTCCTCATACCACTGAATAAAATTTAATGAAACTTTAACAGAATCTTTGATACATAGTGCTTTTGTGACCTTCTATTTTACTATTTTACTTTTTGATAAGACCATATTTCGGGTTTCCCATAGCAAAACATTGACACCGCCATTCTTTCTATAATACTGGGATACCCATCTCTTATCTCCATCACCTCCTATACCACTAAATAAAATTTATTGATACTTTCACAGAATATGTATTACACAATGCCATTGTGCACTTTCTATTATACTTTCTGATCGGACACATTTTTCAGGTTTCTCATAGCGAAATATAGACACTGCCATTCTTTTTTTTTTTTTTTTTTTAAAATCGGGGGTACCCATCTCTTATCCGGAACTCTTCCTATACCACTAAAATCTAATGATACTTTCACAGAATTTTTATTACACAATGCAATTTTGCAACTCCTATTTTACTTTTTGATTGGACACATATTTCAGGTTTCTTATAGCTTAACATAGTCACTGCTTTTCTTTTCAAAATTAATTGGGGGTACCCATCTTTTATCCGCAACTCCTCCTATACTATTAAATATAATTTAAGGATACTTTACAGAATCTTTATTACACAACGCCAATGTGCACCTCCTATTTTGCTTTTTGATCGGACACATTTCAGATTTTTCATAGCAAAACACAGACACTGTCATTCTTTTTATAAAATCGGGGGTATCATCTTTTATCTGCAACTCCTCCTTTACTACTGATTAAAATTTAATGATACTTTCACAAAATCTTTATTACACAGTGCCATTGTGCACTTTCTATTTTTTTTCTTGATTGGACACATACCAGGTATTTCAGGTTTCTCATGCAAAACATGGACACTTCCATTCTTTCTATAAAATCGGGGGAACCCATTTCTTATCTGCAACTCTTCCTATACCACTAAATAAAATTTGATGATACCTTCACAAAATCTTTATTACATATTGCCATTGTGCACCGCTTACTTTATGTTTTGATCGGACAAATATTTGGGCTTTCTCGTATCTAAAATGGACTTTGCTATTATTATCATACGGGAGCATATGCTATGAAAATGAACTTTGCCATCATAATCATATGGGAGCTGGGGAGATCAATGCTCATAGTACCTCTAGTTTTATTTATGTTGTTGCCGTAGTTTCAAGTCCAATTGCTACTTTTCTCTTCCATTGAAATAAGTACAAACCAGTAGAGCTACAGTTCCCTCAGAGAATTCTTTTTTATTATTAGTCCCCCAGGCCCGTAGGAAGCAAATTTAGTTGGGGGGGGGCACAGCCATACATTTTCAGTTGACAGTTGAGGTGGCACTACCAAAAATTTTCTAACAAGCAAAAAAAAAAGGTCGTCAACTACCAAAATTTCCTTGACAACCCCCCCCCCCCAAAAAAAAGGTCGTCAGATGATTTTATTGAGGGGGCACGAGCATATAGTATCTATATTTCCTATAGTAATCTATATATCAGCAAAATTATTGGGGGGCACGCCCCCCCCCCGTGCCCCCCGGATCCTACGGCCATGGTCCCCTACCGGTGAAACCGGAGGGGACTATAGGTTTCCTCTGAGTCTGTCCGTCCGTCTGTCTTGTCTGTCCGTCTGTCTGTTTGTCTGTCCCTCTGTCTGTCTGTCAGTCTGTCCCACTTGGTTTTCCGCACTTTTTTTCTAAACGCTTGCAGATATTGAGCTGATTTTTGATATGTGAGTGTATCTTGATAAGTTACAGATCAAGTTTGCATTTCGTTCCTCTTCAATGATTTTTGTCGGAATTACAACCTTTTCAATTTTTCAGGGTTTTCCGCATTTTTTTTCTAAACGCTTGCAAATATTGAGCTGATTTTTGGTATGTGACTTTACCTTGATGAGTTATAGATCAAGTTTGCACTTCATTCCACTTCATTGATTTTTGACCGAAATATGGCATTTTCAATTTTTAACGGGAACCAGATTACACTTGCCGGTAGGGGACTAGTATTGCTAATGCAATTCTCTCAGAATGCTTGTTATTATTATATTTTTGTGTTAACTATCACTGACGTTCTACAGTCTTGGAAAAGAAAAATAAATTATTGTTAAAATTATGTCTTTCCTATTAATACATTAAATTTTAAATGTATGCAAGAGTGATAATAGACAACTTCTGTTGTTTTGCAGGATGGGATGATATCCAAGAAGAAGATGTCTCGCATTACATGAACATTTTTAAGCATTATCCCCAGACTGATATCAGACTCATGTACAAACACATTATGAAGGAGTTAGGTGGGTTACTGAAATGCTTTATAAATAGAAGTTTTGAAATAAATTTATTCAGGGAAGAATGAACCATTTTTATTGCAGGTACGTCTAAATAAGGAATTCGAAGCATATGCTTATTAAACGCTTTGTTCAAGAAATGCCTTTTACTTGGAAGACAAATAAAACAAGCATTCTGAGAGTATTGCATTAGCAATACTAGTCCCCTACCGGCAAGTGTAATCTGGTTCCCGTTAAGAATTGAAAATGCCATAAATCCGTCAAAAATCAATGAAGCGGGACGAAATGCAAACTTGACCTATAACTAATCAAGGTAAAGTGACTTACCAAAAATCGGCTCAATATCTGAAAGCGTTTAGAAGAAAATTGCGGAAAACCCCTAAAAATTGAAAAGACCGTAATTCAGTCAAAAATCAATGAAGTGGAACGAAATGCAAACTTGATCTGTAACTCATCAAGATGCACTCACATACCAAAAATCAGCTCAATATCTGCAAGCGTTTAGGAAAAAAGTGCGGAAAACCAAGTGGGACAGACTGACAGACAGACAGAGGGACAGACAGACAGACAGACAGACAGACAGACGGACGGACAGACTCAGAGGAAACCTATAGTCCCCTCCGGTTTCACCGGTAGGGGACTAAAAAGAACATCGTCTTGTTTTCTTTAAAACTCATGTGGATTTTTATTGGCATTCAAATTATCAATTAAAAAAATATAATGCAATGAAGAGTCAAGTATGAATTTACAATTTATGTAAAAATATAATCAAAATTTTGTGTACAATAAACAATTGTTTACTAGTATGTAGTAAAAATAAAGTTATAGATGTAGGGGATTTGATTGTGCCCTTTTGAAATATCAAACTAAAACATTTAAGAAAGTTCACCTACACCATATTTTGTTGACCATATAGTACAACATTGCTTGGCAGACTCCTAGTCTTTGGTTTTACGTGTGCCTTCAATATTTCACAGGGCGTCGTCCTACAGTACAAGAGTTTGGCTGCTTGTTACCAGTTCTTGAAGGTAATGAAGTTTGTGACTCCTCCCGTAAAACACCAGGTACTTAAAATGTTAAACTTAAACCTCAATGTGGCTTTTTTTTTTTTGCATTTTGTCAAAAATTATTCTCAAACAGTTAGTCTTTCTTGGAACAAAATTTCTGCGGTATGCCATGTTCTTATCCACTTGAAAGTGTGCTTGAATTAATTTTTATTTCCTTGTCACATTATCAAGTTGTAATGTAATTTGCAGGGGCATGTTTGTGGAAGAGGATTTATATCCACTTGAGAAACAAAGTTATTGATTCTTTAAGCTTTTTTAACATCTAGAAATTCATTGTTTTAATTCTTTTTGGTTATTTTCTACAAATTTGATGACTAAATTAAACCGCCATTCTAATTTATTTGCAAATATATGTCTATTTTTTTGAAGGAGTTATATTATAGGATCTTTATTTAGTGTATAAATAATTTTACTCAAATCATACACAAAACATATTGTTAAACACAACAAGTATTATGCTCGTTTTCTCAATATAACGAAAGACACATAGGTTAACATCATGGTATAATCTATACTTATAAATTAATAAATTTTGCAAATAAACTTCGAAACGGGTGCACTAGAGTTCTTACTTACTCCTCTAACAATACACTATATTCAAGATGATGTCCGTAAACTATATTTAGATTTCATTTGCATAGTAAGTGTCGCACATTAAATAAAAAGTCTGCTTTTATTTTCTATAAACAGCCATGAAATAGCAAAAACGTGAGTACGGTGGCGTTTCCGGTTGGCGGATCTAAGTTACTGGAAGTTTTTAATGAAACTGACAACAAGCAATCGTTTATTTATTTCATAAAACGTCATCACTTTATTATTCAATCAAAACTTGATTTAAATGATATAAAAGAAATAAGTTGTGATAACTGATTAAAAAGGGAAATGTGCACATTATGTTCGTCATTCACCAATCTTAATAATGACGGAAGCTTCTAGAACATCATATAGCATCGAGCCCGATGTTAAAACGAAAAACGAGGCGATTCTAGCTGCATGAACATAAAAAAAAGCTTTTGTGTGAATGGTCATTGAAATAATGGTAAATCATTGATAACACTATAAGTTGTGAATATATTTATATATCGAAAGACTATTACATATATATAGTAGTTTTTTCTAATAAATTTATCGGTAAAATTTGTAAATTTATCGGTAAAATTTGTATTTTCCTTACTGAGAGCATCGTGGCAACGAACCCGAAGTACAATTTGTAATTCGTAATAAACTTGCTTACATGAAAAGAAAAAATTAATGAATAAGGTATTGTTCAAATATAATTAAAGCTGTAAAATTTTGTGCTTTAATCAATACATTTCAGTTTTTTTTCTGAATACAGTCTTTTGTATCAAATACTCGGCCTATTCATAGGGCGTTAAACAGCTAATTTTTACACAGGTACTCGAGTCTTGGTATATAAATATGTATGTACCGGGTACCTTATTGATATGTAAAAAAGGTAAAGTACATTTTTTACAAATCAATAAGGTACATACATATTTATAAACCAAGACCCAAGTACCTGTGAATCCCCCCCCCCCAAATAATCAATTTATCAATAAAATGTGCATATTCACTCCTTTTATCCTTTTATTTTTCAAGATTTTACAAAAAGGGGGTGGGGTGGAGACGTACATTTACTTCCTGTGGGATTTTGAGCAAAGTATTCCTTCTATAAGCCTGTAGGTTGCCAGTAAAAACTACAATATATTTTCTGTCGGTAGTGGTGTAAATTCAATTCCCCGCGCTTGCGCGGGATTTTATCTAGTCTTTTGTATGTTTTCAAGAAGAACAGTATCATATTATTATCTTTATGATCACAGAAATAGCTCAAGGGTTTTTAGTCCCCTACCGGTGAAACCGGAGGGGACAATAGGTTTCCTCTGAGTCAGTCCGTCCGTCTGTCTGTCCGTCTGTCTGTCTGTCCCTCTGTCTGTCTGTCAGTCTGTCCCACTTGGTTTTCCGCACTTTTTTCCTAAACGCTTGCAGATATTGAGCTGATTTTTGGTATGTGAGTGTATCTTGATGAGTTACAGATCAAGTTTGCATTTCGTTCCGCTTCATAGAATTTTGACGGAATTACGGTCTTTTCAATTTTTAGGGGTTTTCCGCAATTTTCTTCTTAACGCTTTCAGATATTGAGCTGATTTTTGGTATGTGACTTAACTTTGATTAGTTATAGATCAAGTTTGCATTTCGTCCCGCTTCATTGATTTTTGACGGAATTATGGCATTTTCAATTCTTAACGGGAACCAGATTACACTTGCCGGTAGGGGACTAGTATTGCTAATGCAATACTCTCAGAATGCTTGTTATACATGGGTATCCCAATTCAAAAACTCAGAACGCTAGCATGTACATAATATTTGTCTCCTTTTATTCAGGTCAACTTCTCCTTGCAATGAAGGAATGCAAAAGAAAATTACAACAGCAAAAGTCTCAAAACAATGCCTTGGAGAGAAAACTTCTGCTGATACAGAGCCGTAAAAACGTCTTACAGAGCAACCTGTCGTCACTGCACAATGGCCTGAATGATCTGCAAGCAAAGAACAGAAAACTTATGATGGGATTGTTTGTTTTGTTTGGATTTGTGTGTTTAATGGTATTTGGTCTAATAATGGCTTTGTAAAAGAAATTCACTTGGAATTTTAACCAGAATATTATCATTAGAAATCCTTAATTACAAATTTGCTTTTTTAAATAATATTAGATCTACATTTGTTTGTTTGTTTGTTTGTTTTTTTAAATATTTTTAATATATATATTACTTTATTTTGTCCACGTATAGAAACAGTAAGGATGTATTTATGTTCTGAGTTAGTGACTGTTTTAAAAAGAAAACCTCAATTTAAAAAAAAAATTCTACATATTGTATATAATGGATATTTAACTGAATACTAAATATAATATCAATAAATGCTTCAATCAATCAATCTTTGCACATGTACGTACACATGTAAAATAATTGACCATAATTATAAACGTTTATCATGGATGTATTCGTATTATTTTAACAAATATAAATAAATACATTGTACACGTATTGAATATCATGACTTAAAATTAAATATGTATTTTCTTTGTAACAACGGTGTGTATATTTAGTAGGCAATTATAATTCATACCAAAAGATAATGATCGACAAAATAAAACGCAGCTTTTATACGTTTTATACTTATCTGTTTAAATTACCATTTTATGATTTTTTTAAAATATTTTTTATTATGTTTTTGTAATCCTACGAAACAGAATTTATTCAAAAACTACTACATGAGAAGAAGAAAACGCTTGCTGTGGCCTTCAACTCGACATTTAGATAGATCGACGATATACTATGAATTAACAATAGTTATACTTTCATTCATATGTCGAATCGATTAACCCAGTGTACTTGAAATAGAAGATAACACAGAGTGTGCCGCATATACTTCATATTTGGATTTTTTTCTAATTATGTACGATAAGGATTAACTAATAACTAAATTGTATGACAAACGAGATGACTTAAACTTTCCATCGTCAACTTTCCTAACTTATGAAGTAATAATCCGCTATCGCCTGCATATGGTTTTACATCTCTCAACTTATTCGATACTCAAATGCATGTCCCAAGTACGAACAATTTTTAAACCGAGGCAGGCTACTGAAGATAAGTTGATGTGACAGGAATTTCAACAACCTCGTTTGAAGTCGGCATTTTGTAAATTCTTTGGTCGTTATAATGACCTTGTTAGCAAATATTACCATATCGTTGAGTCGTATTTTGGCTGATTTGTTTCATACCAATTGTTAGGCCTTTGTTTTAATACTGAATTTGACTATGGAATGTTCCGTCTACCTGATCAATACAAAGGGCTCACGGCGGGTGTGACCGGTCAACAGGGGATGCTTACTCCTCCTAGGCACCTGATCCCACCTCTGGAATTTCCGGAGGTCTGTGTTTTGTGCCCTCTGCACATATTTGTATTGTTTGTAGATTTTTTGAGATCGATCGCTGCTCGTTATCTTTGGATTATCAATTATGTTTTACCATAAAAGAAGATAAACTTATTAAACAACTTTTTTTTCTTATTCAATTTATATGACAGTTAAATGAAAGATAGCATGTAAGTCTTGCTTATGTTACGTTTATACCACCCCAGTCATGTTATATTCGTCCTTATAATTATATATTATGTAATTAATATTGTATTATCTTATTTCTTTGTATGTCCGATGTGGAAATATCACTATACCATCATTAATACTATTGTGTAAACATGTTTGTATGTATAATCGTAGGGTTACCCGAATTTCCTCTATAACAACATTTGAATCATGCACATAAATATATGTGCGAGACCCATAAACCCCAATCCTTACCTTGATTATCTATGGCATCATGTCTTAAGTCTTTTCCTTGCAGTTCCCTACCATTATCCCCCCATAACACACCCAATTACGTTTAATTACAAAGCTAGGCCGAATGTTTATCTCCTCCAAATATGGCGCTAAACAGAGCGGTACTGCTCAATTCGCGCGAGGATACATTCGGCCCTAGTGATGAAAAGGTATATAAACAGCGGTTTTGGACCCAACTGTCACTTTTCACCCCCAGCCCATAACGGAAAGTCACTTGGCCTCATTACCTAATCTCTATTATTTATTACTGGATTTACTGGCAGTTACCAACTATGGATAACCCGGATCCAGAGAGAATGGTAAATATTATTTAAGACTTTCAGAACCATTTTATTTAAAAAGCTTGAATTTGATGCCAATCCCCGGCAGACCCATACCCATTTGATTATTGTTACAAATTCATACGGGTGACCCGTTAGACCCGGATACCCTTTTTATTTTCGGGTGACCCATAATTTATTATTGCTTAATTGATAATTGTCTTATTGTTCATTGTTATTCATTGTTTTCATCATAATAAATTTTATAAATTTACAACCTGACTTTTTATTTAGAGTTAAAGGGTAAAATTCAGAAACAGGAGACCCACAATAATTTATTTTCATTGTAACAAACCCTGGAACAGGTGTAAACGTTACACTTATATTTGTTTAAATTGTCTGTTTTATATAAAAATATATGCTTGATCTGTTGACGTACTGTGCATTACATGTGACGGTATAATTTTAACGATTTTTCTTTCATTCTTGTCCTTGCTGTATATAGATATTGATAGATATAGATATTGATTTAATATTCTTTGTATAATTTTTAGATATGGTAAGATTGATATACTAGCAAGTAATTAGTTTTAATGATAATTATCAAATAGTAGAGAAAAATTGTTATTTTTGCATTACTTGGTATACAATGTATAGAATTTTTCGTACATTGTATGTACTTCTGTCAAATCAATGTCCAAAGACTTCATCTTATATAAACTAGAAAAAATATGACTCGATAGGCTTTGATGATGCTTTAAAAAAATTTCACATTATTCTTTTGTAAGTTTTGTAAAAATTTATTAACACAAGGTGATAGGTAAAACTTAAATGAAAAGAAAAAGACTTTATTCAACATTTATATGTATTGATGAAGTTTAATGTATTCATATGTTAATTCACTATATTCTGCGGATTTCGAAATAAAGACACCACATAGTCTCACAGATCTGTTTCATATTTGGGTATGATGCTACATATACGAGTATATTCATTTACTTAGTAACAAGTAGTAATGCATATGGTATTTATGTCTCCCAATTGATTTAAAAAAACGTTGACGTTCAAAATCTAAAGCAAGGACCATTTCTGATATTACATGGGTAACACAATCTCGTCTAACGTCTACATTTCATAAGTCTACAGTCGTTACCATAGGCTTATTTAAGGTTTTGTCAAAGGTCAATATGCCCAAAATTTTATTTTTACAATAGCTCCAAAACTATGTGAGATATAAGGTTAAAACTTTTACAGTTTATAAATATATCATTGATTAACAGATAGAAAATATCACTTGAAAACAGATATTTAAAAAAATATATTTTTTGAGAAAAAAGTTTCAAAAAAATTTGCATGTTTTTAAAAAAATGCACCTGCTTCATTCTGTACTTTTAGTGAAAACCATCATTGCAGAAATAATATATGTTTATCAATGAAGGACAAGTTGGACGTGAATGGTCTCTGAAAGGCTGTTATTGAAAGCATGACATGTATAAAGAGAAGACCCCTATAAAATCCGCCATTTGCAATGTACTTTCGGTTTCAAATCTTAACATTTGGACAAAATAAACAGGGAAAACAACTTTCCAGAGGCTATCGAAGTCCAACTTGCCCTTCATTGATAAACATATATTGTTTCTGCAATGATGGCTTTCACTAAAAGTACGGAATTAATTAGGTGTAGTTTTTAAAAAATATATGCATTTTTAAAAAGAATTTTTCTCGATAAATATTTTTTTTAAGTATTTGTTATCAAGTGATATTTTCTATCTGTTAATCATTGATATATTTATAAACTGTAAAAGTTTTAACTTTATAAACCACATAGTTTTGGAGCTATTGTAAAAATAAATTTTTGGACATATTGACCTTTGGCAAAACCTTAAGACTCTTTGCGCAAGTGGCCATGTTATCCTCGCAGTTTATATACACAATTAAAACGTAAGCTTATTGTCATGCATGTAACTATGTTTTCAACCCTTCTCTCAAATTTCCCAGAAAAGCATTTATGCAACGAGGCAAACTTGATCAAAAATGCAAAAAATAGGTATATGGTTTGGATATAAAACGAATTCTGCACGATATATTCTTAAATCTATATGTGTCGATTTCAATTGCGCACAATATGCAAACACTGGATTTTTACATAACTTGCTCAAGGACTGCTTTTCCTAAATAAGTAAGGCAAGCATATCTTTTTTGTGGTGTAAAATCATGTACATAAATACTTATTTAGTAATGTTTATTAATTGATATGTAAACAATTCAAACATCCACTTTGTGTTATTTATATACACTGTAATAATATTTTATTTTTTTGTAAGGAAGCTCTTAATACATACTGGCTACTGAAGAGTTCAAATTTCATGGAAGTTTTATGCAGCTAGAGTGATCTGCCCTTTGATGTAAAATTCTACATTAATATAATAATTGAAAATAGATTAAAATATTCTTAATATTACATTACTTACATAAAGTAATCGAAAACATTATTTGAATCTCATTTACTAATACATGCTAATACGAACTGTACTTCACTGGTTTTTTAACGTTATTCATGGAGAAGTCTGGCAGGTGCATTATGTTGAAAATAAACCAGGAAAAATCAAAATGAAAATCTTTATCTGATAAAATTTTCTAAAGTTCAAAAAATATTTTTCAATAGTGTTTAGAACTTCCTTAAACAATATTAAAATGAAGCATCTATCCAACTAAAGAAAGAACTTCAAGTGTTTTTCTAGATCCAAATCTACAAGAGCAATACTTAAATATTTTTTTAAGAAACCTTAAAACATTGAAAATAAGAACATAAAATGTTGAAATATTTATTTATTCTTTCCATTCATTTGTTGCAAATATATCCCATTGTATTTTAGCTACAGTATAAAGAATATGAGAAAGGAGTTTTCTTATGTATGATATTTCCCCTATTGTCTGTTTAATTTCAGTTGTTAATTGGATTAACCTAGTAAGAAATGCGTCTACTGGGGTTTCACTAA